GTGCTCTCCTACAGATACTCCATGTTCAAGGTGCGTGGTGCTCTCCTACAGATACTCCATGTTCAAGGTGCGTGGTGCTCTCCTACAGATACTCCATGTTCAAGGTGCGTGGTGCTCTCCTACAGATACTCCATGTTCAAGGTGCGTGGTGCTCTCCTACAGATACTCCATGTTCAAGGTGCGTGCTGCTCTCCTACAGATACTCCATGTTCAAGGTGCGTGCTCTCCTACAGATACTCCATGTTTCATGTGATCCATATGGACCATAACATGTATGCACATGTCTCATTTCAAGTTACACAACAGTAAAATTCTTAATATTTTATTAAGAAATTTAAAGATTTAGAAATATTTTTTAAGAAATGTAATTAAGAAATTTGTATTTTTTATGTAGAAATTCTTTTCTCTAATTATAGTACCATGTTGAAGGCATAGGTACTGCCGTACTCAGGACATGCATGTTCATAACCGTGTCACGCTGCAGTGTAATGCAGTGTCACGACCACCGCTTGCACGGTCAACGCATAAACAAAACACTGCATTGTCACTCGTATGTCTGAGCATGACAATGCATTGTCACTCGTATGTCTGAGCATGACAATGCATTGTCACTCGTATGTCTGAGCATGACAATGCTTTGTCACTCGTATGTCTGAGCATGACAATGTCTTCAGCGCTGCCTTCATCTTAATTGAACGGAAGAAACCTGCATGCAACAGCAAAGCTTGCCTGCCCGCAGCAAGGTTGTGTCATGTGTTATGCTCGATTGTCTTCAACAACAACTAAATCTATTGGCATTAGAGCACAACTTGATTTTTAAAGGGGTGTTAAGCTTTGAAATTATTATTTTTTCTAATTATTTAACTAACAAATGTGGCGCACGATGAATATACGATTACTCAGGTCCTACGATTACTCAGGTCCTACGATTACTCAGGTCTCCAAACAAAAAGCTGTTTGATTATTTCTGTAGGATTTTTATTTACTTGGTATGCTGACAACGTGAAATACTCCGCAAAATCCTGGCCGTCGAGATTTGCGAATCAGCGTCAAATTCTCTTCAAATATACTTATTTCACAAATATTTTTATTTCACAAAGAGTCAAGGATAGAAATACTGTTTATTAATTCATATCAGCGTCATAGGATATAAATGACGAAAATGCGTAACTTTTCATTAAATATGTTCCAAGAGAAGTCGATAAAATTAAGTACTCTACGAGATATTCCTTAGTCGTCACCCGAAAGTTTGAATTGCAAACACCATGTGACGCTACTGGTACACAAACTTCAGTCAACTCTAATGCATCTAAGTTCGTGCTCAGCTCTTCCATATACAACCGTGTTACTAACTATTGACATGGCTGACTGTTTCACCTTTTGATACTTGTACTGCAAGACCAACCTCTCCATTACCTCTCTTCCTTTAGAAAGCTTCATGTGGCATTCAACTATACGATGTTTTCGCATATTGTGCCATGAATGTTGTTGCCACGGTGTTACATATCAGCATTAATACATTCCATGATGAAAAATTATTCATGAAAGGAGCTCATGACATTTCCAACACCTACGGCAGTTTTTATTGCTAAATGGATAATATTTCAAGATTAGCTGCATCAGTAAAAATATTGGTACTATTGTATGGTAAATATTGTACTTAATGGGCAGGTGGGGCCAGTGCTGTGCCTGAGTCACGGCATGGGCATCCCGTCCGTGGGCATCTTGCTGCACGAGATCATCAAGCTCATGTACCACGCGGGGGTCAAGGACCCCATCTTCTTCAGGCTGGGCACCTGCGGGGGCATCGGCATCGAAGGGGGCAACCTCGTCGTGTCTGAGAGCGCCGTAGATGGCATGCTTGGCATCCCGTCCGTGGGCATCTTGCTGCACGAGATCATCAAGCTCATGTACCACGCGGGGGTCAAGGACCCCATCTTCTTCAGGCTGGGCACCTGTGGGGGCATCGGCATCGAAGGGGGCAACCTCGTCGTGTCTGAGAGCGCCGTAGATGGCATGCTTAACCCCTACCTGGAGCTGGTGAGTGGTAAGCTAGGTACTACCTACCCCTACCTAGAACTGGTGAGTGGTAAGCTAGGTACAACCTACTCCTACCTGGAGCTGTTAAGTGGTTTAGGTTAGCTTAGTTCTTAGTCTTCTGGCAAAATATCCCTAGCCTCATAATTGATTTAACCAGAATGACGTTTCATTCATAATTCATAGGACAATTTCATTAGTACAGATATTCACGAAAGATAGACACAAATTACAATTCACGGCCGAGGTCGTAGTTGAGCTACATTTGCTAGCAAATAATACTTTTCTTTCAAAAAATGTCATCAACGTTTTGTTCATTGTTGTTCATTGATGTTCATTCATTGTAAGTTTATTGTCGTACCTGAGTAAATATTACATGCACAAATGCTGGATGTGATAGCCTGTTGTTTTCGGCAGCCTGTGCTGGGCAAGCTGCAGCGGCGCCCTGCGCTGCTGGACAAGGCGCTCGCTGCTGAGCTCAAGGACCTCGCCACCGACACCGACCCCTTCACCGTGCACGTCGGCAAGACCATGTGCACCTACGACTTCTACGAGGGTACGTGCTGGTGCCCTGTGTACCTACGAGGGTACGTGCTCGTGCCCTGTGCACCTACGACTTCTACGAGGGTACGTGCTCGTGCCCTGTGCACCTACGACTTCTACGAGGGTACGTGCTCGTGCCCTGTGTACCTACGACTTCTACGAGGGTACGTGCTCGTGCCCTGTGTACCTACGACTTCTACGAGGGTACGTGCTCGTGCCCTGTGTACCTACGACTTCTACGAGGGTACGTGCTCGTGCCCTGTGTACCTACGACTTCTACGAGGGTACGTGCTCGTGCCCTGTGTACCTACGACTTCTACGAGGGTACGTGCTCGTGCCCTGTGTACCTACGACTTCTACGAGGGTACGTGCTCGTGCCCTGTGTACCTACGACTTCTACGAGGGTACGTGCTCGTGCCCTGTGTACCTACGACTTCTACGAGGGTACGTGCTCGTGCCCTGTGTACCTACGACTTCTACGAGGGTACGTGCTCGTGCCCTGTGTACCTACGACTTCTACGAGGGTACGTGCTCGTGCCCTGTGTACCTACGACTTCTACGAGGGTACGTGCTCGTGCCCTGTGTACCTACGACTTCTACGAGGGTACGTGCTCGTGCCCTGTGTACCTACGACTTCTACGAGGGTACGTGCTCGTGCCCTGTGTACCTACGACTTCTACGAGGGTACGTGCTCGTGCCCTGTGTACCTACGACTTCTACGAGGGTACGTGCTCGTGCCCTGTGTACCTACGACTTCTACGAGGGTACGTGCTCGTGCCCTGTGTACCTACGACTTCTACGAGGGTACGTGCTCGTGCCCTGTGTACCTACGACTTCTACGAGGGTACGTGCTCGTGCCCTGTGTACCTACGACTTCTACGAGGGTACGTGCTCGTGCCATGTGTACCTACGACTTCTACGAGGGTACGTGCTCGTGCCCTGTGTGTGGTACATGACACTTTTCTAAAAACTCAAGTACAGGGTACTTGATTTTCTTTATTGGCTTCTGCGACTTAGATTCAATTAGTAAAATAATGCCTATGTCAGACTTTCAAGATGATAAAATTACTTCATTATCTACTTCATTCATTAGTCTCTACTCAACCTTGACCATCATTAGCTTTTGACATCAAACCAGAATATAAGCACCATAACCTGTGCCTCGCTGTCACTGCTACTGTTCGTGAAGGCTAGTGCCGCCTCGACCTTGTGACCTTGTGATGAGTTTAGGACGTTAGGACACAAGTGCCTTGTGATGAGTTTAGGACTTCCTAGTCCACGGTCACGCTGATGCGCCACCTTCGTCGTCCTCCGTCTCCGAGTCGTCGCTAGGCAGGTCACCCCGCCCTCGAGTCCCAGATGTAACGTTGGACGTGTTCCGTATATTTACATAGTGTCCGTGTTAGGTTTAATCAGGATCCAGTTATGGAGATAAAGTCCAGTTGCAACGCTTAAAGTATACGTCGAGAGTATTAGTAGGTAGTGAAGTGCATCCTGTAACGCTCGCTCTGCGAGTACACTGAGGCAGATAAGCTGGTGTAGTGTACACTGTAACACTGTGCAGGCCAGGGGCGTCTGGACGGGGCGTTCTGCGAGTACACTGAGGCAGACAAGCTGGTGTAGTGTACACCGTAACACTGTGCAGGTCAGGGGCGTCTGGACGGAGCGTTCTGTGAGTACACTGAGGCAGACAAGCTGGAGTAATGTACACTGTAACACTGTGCAGGTCAGGGGCGTCTGGACGGTGCGTTCTGTGAGTACACTGAGGCAGACAAGCTGGTGTAGTGTACACTGTAACACTGTGCAGGTCAGGGGCGTCTGGACGGCGCGTTCTGTGAGTACACTGAGGCAGACAAGCTGGTGTAGTGTACACTGTAACACTGTGCAGGTCAGGGGCGTCTGGACGGTGCGTTCTGTGAGTACACTGAGGCAGACAAGCTGGTGTAGTGTACACTGTAACACTGTGCAGGTCAGGGGCGTCTGGACGGCGCGTTCTGTGAGTACACTNGTGCGTGCTGTGGCATGGTGTTGCAGTGCGTGCTGTGGCATGGTGTTGCAGTGCGTGCTGTGGCATGGTGTTGCAGTGCGTGCTGTGGCATGGTGTTGCAGTGCGTGCTGTGGCATGGTGTTGCAGTGCGTGCTGTGGCATGGTGTTGCAGTGCGTGCTGTGGCATGGTGTTGCAGTGCGTGCTGTGGCATGGTGTTGCAGTGCGTGCTGTGGCATGGTGTTGCAGTGCGTGCTGTGGCATGGTGTTGCAGTGCGTGCTGTGGCATGGTGTTGCAGTGCGTGCTGTGGCATGGTGTTGCAGTGCGTGCTGTGGCATGGTGTTGCAGTGCGTGCTGTGGCATGGTGTTGCAGTGCGTGCTGTGGCATGGTGTTGCAGTGCGTGCTGTGGCATGGTGTTGCAGTGCGTGCTGTGGCATGGTGTTGCAGTGCGTGCTGTGGCATGGTGTTGCAGTGCGTGCTGTGGCATGGTGTTGCAGTGCGTGCTGTGGCATGGTGTTGCAGTGCGTGCTGTGGCATGGTGTTGCAGTGCGTGCTGTGGCATGGTGTTGCAGTGCGTGCTGTGGCATGGTGTTGCAGTGCGTGCTGTGGCATGGTGTTGCAGTGCGTGCTGTGGCATGGTGTTGCAGTGCGTGCTGTGGCATGGTGTTGCAGTGCGTGCTGTGGCATGGTGTTGCAGTGTGTGCTGTGGCATGGTGTTGCAGTGCGTGCTGTGGCATGGTGTTGCAGTGCGTGCTGTGGCATGGTGTTGCAGCTGTCTCTTATACACATCTAGATGTGTATAAGAGACAGCGGGTGTTGTGGGGGCCACGGGTGTTGTGGGGGCCACGGGTGTTGTGGGGGCCACGGGTGCTGTCAGCGTCGCGGGTGGTGTGGGTGTTGAGGCTGGTATGGGTAGCACGGGAGATAGCCTGTCATCAATATTGGGCAATGTTGGTGTCCTCGTGGGGGTTTCCAACGTATTCATGTATCGGTGTTTTTAGCGTTACAAGTGTTGCGGGATTAACTTTAATTTTCCGTGCGTTTTTCGCGTGTCGTGGTGTATGCGCGTTGAGTCGTGTATGGTACCCACCATACATGACCAACACCTACAATGTCTCCATCAACTGGGAATGTTTCATCATTTCAATTCACCATCAAAGAGGCAATCAATGCTAGTATGATAATTGCATGGAATATTATCCATACTACGCCTTAATCTTTTTACCATTCGTTTCTCTCACAACTATTCATTAGTGACATGTCCGTTCATTTAATAGTTAACCATATACAGATCGCAAGACTGTTCACTAATATAACGACGACTAATTAATCTACGCATTAGTCAAATATAGCCTGCCTTAATAACGTATTGACCGTCCCTCCACGGCGCCAGAGGAGCCACGTGAGCCTCTATTTTTCGTTCAAACTTCATAGGCGTGGCATCGGCGGCCAGCGCGTAGCCTGCTATGCTACGCCCATGTTTATGGTTGAGGTGTTCGGGCAGAAACGACATATATGGCATAACTTTATTTGGAACATCAAAATAGCCTTACCTCAGAGGTTACTTGTTGGCAGAGCCTGCTACGCTTTGATTATTTTTAAATGATCATTTTGCGGTTTATTATTGAATAAATTTAATGCAAGCGTTCCAATAAACTGTCCATAATATAACAAGCATTGCTCGTGCGTTAGTAAACGATTAGATGTGCACAATTAGCGTTAGTTAACATTTGGTTTGATGATCAATCGGGGCAAATTTTTTACTAATTTCGCCGCGAAGGCGAGTTTAAATTTTCCACTAAGGAATAAGCGACAATCTTCGCCTGAACACCGCACACTTGCCACTGTAGTCCCTGGCAAGTGTGCCGCCAACCGTCANAGTGTATTTGTTGCTCTGTTGCCACTTACTTGCCACGCTCACACGTATTGACTTGCATTCACACTCGTGCTAATGCGTCGATCCTGAATAACCTACTATGTATTCGCCCTAATATAGTACGAATAGAAATTATGAACGGTATTATTTGGCCATCAATATCTTTTTACTAATTATGCTGCATATTTACAGAGACAACTAAGAGGAGGGATTCGTCAACAACTCGGCGCTCGAGTTCAACGGCGCTGCAGTTGAAGGCTCACAAGCGACGCGCCAGAGAAGCCGTCGTTGTGTCACCATTTCTCGTCCACTATAAACTCCATACTGAGTGCATCACGCTTACTCGTAGGAATAGCATAGTATGCTCACTCGTAGGGATAACATATTTCAATATCTTAGTCCCATACGCAACGCAAAGAAATTGAAATTAACTCGATAAGAATTGATTTAGCTTCGAGACTAGAGTTATTAATTCCGTTCACCCATGATTGTATCGTATTGGTATCTGCATAATGTTTCATGCTTCCAGTGTCAGTAATAGGCTGAATTAAAACAAAATCACACTTTTTAACTTGATTTTTAACTCTCATCAAACACAGGTTTGATGAGAAAAATTGCGCGCCTTGCAGTATAATGTTTGTAAACCACATCGAAGACTGTAATTTAGAAGTTATAACGGCGTTATGAAGTCTGTTTACTGTAGCTCATACGTTATTGGATGTTAAATAGAACCTGTTCATAGTATAGTTTATTGTTGTCCCAGAGCTGTGGTATTCAGGTTGTAAGTTACGCGTGTGTTGGGAAAGAGCTCTCATACATGTTATCGTCACATTGCTGGGACGAGTGTACTGCTTCTGTGGACGGTCAAGCCAGTCTCGATATATGAAATGGTTATTGTTGACTTCTGTTGGTGTTAATGGTTTGGCGTTACTGGTTTTATACCAGCTTACTGGTCACTAGAATCTATAATGCCTAGTTAAGAGGAGTATTGCAGCACTGGTTACCTGTCGGCCTAGCATTCCATGTGTGTTGTATTTGGCCGCATTTCAACGCTCGACGTTACTACAATGAAGGCGTAAGTTGGTGCAAGTTTACTCCCTGCGATTAACTTGGCCAGGAGCCTGAGGCCAAAACGCTTTAGAGCATCTTGAGTCGAATGCTATCATACAGTTCAGGATCTGAGAGCAGATAGGCAGGTGTAACAAAAAATGGCAATTAATTATTGATGATTGGGTAGGCGGTAGTATGAATCGATCTCCATTTCTCATCACGTGAATGATCACTTTCATGCCACTTCAGCTTCCATATTTCGATAGACAAGTGCAGACATAACCGTTCGTTCTACACTCTGGTCCTAGAATATATTTCCGCCGTAGAGCAATAAGAGATTCATATCAGAGACGTTTCATTCCTGGGCAACATTCCCCAAGCTCTCTTAAATATATACTGCGTTAGAAATGTTCGTGTTGTCATTGAAAGTTACATCGTTCGTAAGTAATGCATCATAGGGATGTGAAGGCATCGTTTGACTGTCGTTCTAAGGTATTCAATGGCGACTAATGTATTGCGAATTACGTTAATTTAGCTTATTGTAACCTGTTCTGTTCACACACTCTAGTACTTGGACCATAGTCTCATATTGTGCAATTATTGGCACTACTTCATACATTCCAGTTTTATTAACAAGCTTATTGCGAATTTGTACAATATATCACACGTAAATTGACTAAGACAAATTTCGGTTAAAAAAAATGCTTTTTGCAACGGATAAAGAGTTGATCAACATATATATATTGTATGGGACGAAATAGGCTCCCTGGGATCACGTTTATCTGCATTCCATCATGAGTAGTAGACAATTATTTTGTAAGTCGCAACATTGAATGATGAACTAGAGACGATGAACTATTGTAACTACTTTTGTACGTACGGTATTTTTTTGACAGGTTGTGGGAAACCAGCTTCATTAGAATGTAGCATTTTTTATTTTCATGTTTGAAGCGTAAAGGACACTGTTTATGCCACCAGGGCTGCTGATTTACAAGGAAACCCTGTGAGAACGACTAGCACTGATATGCTAACTTTAAATAACACTATAAATCAGCTGCAATTTGTTCTGTTCACTTTCCTGACTTTAAAGAGCCTCACCCACCAACTTATCACTTGGGCGACAACTTGCCTAATTCCTAATGCAATAAAAATCATCCTAGGTAAAGAGAAAAAAACGTCCCTAAGAGATGGAACAACGGCTTTCTAACTGAAAAAAAAATTCTGCCCCATATTTCAAGCAGCCAAACTTCGCCGTTGAATTACAGGTCCTAACGAATTAATTTATTGGAATTGTTGAAATGCCTATGAAAAGCAATCCCTAAAATTCCAAAATTAGTTCACAGATACAATTTATAAGAATTATCTATGACTTCAGATGAGTCTTTATCAGTTTTCAATGATAACAAATCCCTCTACGAGAATACCGACAAAAATAAAACAGTTCAAGAAGCCTCTTCCATCAAGGAACTGTCTGATATAAACATATTTGCTGCGGTTACTCTGGTTGAGATGAGAACGTTTCCCTAGAAGCCTCTCTCCTCCAAGAACTGCTTAATATCGTTCACGAAGTCGCCCTTGAAGAAGATCTTCTGGTGAGGCTCCAGCACCTGCAGGACGACCGTCTCCTTCAGGCCGTAGAGGCCCACGAGGTGCGCCTTCAGCTCCGCCGCCAGCTGGAACACGTCGCCCTCCACGCCACTCACCACCGTCATCACTCTGCTCACAAATCATCATTATCGTCAACCGCACCTTTATACTTAATTTTTTATACTAACACATTTTCATAAATTATATTAAGATATTTTCATGAACAGCAGTCAACTTTATCCACCCTCACCGCGTTGCAACTTTTGTACTGAACCCAGTTCAGTAACATTCACAATTGCTACATTGTCTGCATACATACATAATTGATTCAATTCACAATTGTGAGTATAATATCACATTCAAGCCTAAACAATTAAGTTAATTAGTCTTTAAGTAAATATACTTTGCCGCAAAATTAAACAATTGCACGGGTAACATGCTCTGTTTGTAATAATGACGTAATAAATAATAATGTTGTAATAATGACATAATAAATAATAATATTGTAATAATGACGTAATAAATAATAAACTTGTAATAATGACGTATAATGTAATAATAATGACGTTCTCAATAAATGACGTAATAATGTGATGATGAGAGAAGGTATGTAACACCCACGTGTAGTGCTCAAAGTTATAGTGTAATTATGAAAGCTATGTCATGAAAGAAGGTCTGTCCTGAACACAGCCTTTAGTCAAGAAAAGTACAAGAATCGGCGACAGGCCTATCCAGGCCTATTCTTCAATGCCGAAGATACTATACTATACTATTTACTATACTATACTATGTAAGACGCACGTGTAGAGCTCAAAGTTGCGCTTGAGGTGCACACGCGGCAGGAAGTTGCTGGTGCGGTTCACGAAGTACGGCAGGTCCCCAGGCCGGGCGCTGGGGGCGACATAGCCTCCTGGAGTGCGGGTGCCTGTAATGTTCACAAATAGTTTAGCTGCAGCGTAAACTGACCTGCGTCTTGATAGTTCTTTTACAGGGTTTGCCTTGGCCATTTATGAAGTTACCCATAATATTGCAGGGATTACCCATGACATTGCAGGGATTACCCATGGACATTGCAGGGATTACACATTATATTGCCAGACCATATAAATATTTTTCTTACCATATCGAGTAAACTGCAGTTTTTATCCTGTGAATTACTGGGACTAAAAGTATATGATTTAAGAGAAGTATAGAAAGATATATATTTCTTTGATAGCACTTTTTCTACTCGTTTGGCCTTATTAGGAAACGTCATTTAAATAAAAAATAACATTTGGTGTGTATTTTGGAGGGTTTTGATGTGTCATTTAGACCCTGAGATAACAGGAGAGTTAAGCAATGTACATCATATTATATGAAAGGTATACCGTAGGGTAATAATGGAAGCTAATGTAATGTGATAATAATAATGTAATAAATACTTTAAAAAACTTTTTAAAAAACCACGTTTTTCTTGTGGACTAAAAAGTAGAAAATAAATTATGGTTCGCCCCAAAAAACGTGGGTCCGGCTGTACGTTCACCATCAAATTTCCAAAATTCGTGTGTTGTGTGCTTTTCGCTTTAATCATAAATCTGCCCGACACACGTTTTTTGGGGCGAGCCATAATTTATTTTCTATTTTTTAGTCCACAAGCTGTCTCTTATACACATCTAGATGTGTATAAGAGACAGGCCATCAGCACCACACAGCCATCAGCACCACACAGCCATCAGCACCACACAGCCATCAGCACCACACAGCCATCAGCACCACACAGCCATCAGCACCACACAGCCATCAGCACCACACAGCCATCAGCACCACACAGCCATCAGCACCACACAGCCATCAGCACCACACAGCCATCAGCACCACACAGCCATCAGCACCACACAGCCATCAGCACCACACAGCCATCAGCACCACACAGCCATCAGCACCACACAGCCATCAGCACCACACAGCCATCAGCACCACACAGCCATCAGCACCACACAGCCATCAGCACCACACAGCCATCAGCACCACACAGCCATCAGCACCACACAGCCATCAGCACCACACAGCCATCAGCACCACACAGCCATCAGCACCACACAGCCATCAGCACCACACAGCCATCAGCACCACACAGCCATCAGCACCACACAGCCATCAGCACCACACAGCCATCAGCACCACACAGCCATCAGCACCACACAGCCATCAGCACCACACAGCCATCAGCACCACACAGCCATCAGCACCACACAGCCATCAGCACCACACAGCCATCAGCACAACACAGCCATCAGCACTACACAGCCATCAGCACCACACAGCCATCAGCACCACACAGCCATCAGCACCACACAGCCATCAGCACAACACAGCCATCAGCACAACACAGCCATCAGCACTACACAGCCATCAGCACCACACAGCCATCAGCACAACACAGCCATCAGCACTACACAGCCATCAGCACCACACAGCCATTATGCACACACACTTTCTGTATGAAATAAAAGCTATAATTCCATTACTACCATTTGCTGCTGGGTTATCACAGAATAAAATAAGAGTATTATTCTGTCAAGAAATATATTTAATTTATTACACTCTATAAAGGTTAGTCATCCAGTACATAATAACAATTTTTGGATTCAGTTCAGCAGAAAATTGCAGAATAAACCACAAATTTAAAACAGAAAAACCAAAGAGATTATCACTTTAGAATGTAAATTAGCCTCTGATAATAAGAGCAAAATTATTAATTAAAACCATTATTATTATTAAACTTGATACTCACATTGCCATGTGCAGCAGGGAACTCATGTGTGACTGTTGGTTGTGTGTCCACATGTTTGGTTGCTGCGTTTCTCTCAGCCCCAGGGTCAAAAAATTCACCACCAGCAATATTACAGGCAGCAGCTTCCGCTGTACTGCCGGTAATACTGGATGTTGGGTGTGAGGTGGTGAGGTTGGATGAGCAATGGCGAGCTAAAACTACTGAAGGTAACCTAGGTAACCGCTGAGACAGTTGCATATAAATATAGGATGCCATTATGCTTGTTTGAACCTCAAAAACAATATGAAACTTTTTTTATTCAATGATAATATTGTAATTCTCTTAGATGGCTTAAAAGTTGATAGATATGAACTAAATAATTAAAAAAAATTTTCAAGGATTAAGATATTTATAAGAAAACAATATGAAAAAATCAAGTGCTAATTATTTTTTCTAGAGTAATGATGTATGCTTGCCTGTTAAGTGGGTTGCAGCAATTAGAAAACTGTCACCAAGATTTTTTGAAACTTTTATTGTAAACCAAAATTCATACCAAAAATTCAATACTTCTCCTTTGAATATTGACTTTTCTAAGCTCAACTTTTTTCTACAGCTAGTCAGCTATAGGGTAATCGCGGTATATTCCGACACATTAAGGATGCATCGAGTAATGAAAAACTATAAAAAAAAAACGTATGCGTTACGTAAGTTCTGTTGGCTTCACGTGACTCTCAAAACACCGCACTACGCGTCAGCAACGATGAAATGTCACAAAATGTTGCCATATTTATTAAAAAGCCTTCAGAATGGAAACCTACCAAATCCCTATATTC